AATTTGAGGACGGTCATTGTATCACCACTAGGGCAAGCAATATTTCGAAGGACACGACTGGCGCGCACGCAGCAAGTGAATCTTCAGACACTAAAAAGTTGACTAAAGCATGTCTACTTAAACAAGTATGCGTTTATTTTTAATTCCAAAACCCTCCGATGTGCTGCTACTACACTCTGACTGTCAACACTACTGCTACTATCAGAAACATCATCTCCACCAAAACCCCTAAGACGGCTACTACGTAGTCCCCTAATGTTGTATTGCTTAAACTACTACTTTACAAACTACGATGGAATGGGCTACACTGACCGATGTAATAGTAGAACCTGTAGACTCAATGTGTGCAAAGCTGTATACTATGACACAAACAAGAACAAGAGAAAGTGTCCTACAATATCCTAAATCGATAAATAATGCACCATGCACTTCCGCAACGAACAGTTCTAATAGAATTTGCGGTCAGTGGTTGTATCACCAATAGCACAAACATTTCCCCGAACGACACAACGAACTCGCACTCAACGCCAATTCATGTGCAATCGCTATTTATGACCTAAATACGGACAACAGAAAGTGACTTACAATATCGCAAATATGTAGATAATTAAGGCGAAAGCTACCTCTTCAACGGAATGTACTAATAGAAATTGCGTTGAGTGACTGTATCACTAGTAAAACTAAAAATACCTAAGCAGTATGAGTTCATTTTTTATTTCGAAACACTCCGATTTGCCGTGAATCCACTGTTACTAACATTACTAATGCCACTACTACCACCACCTCCAACACCACAACCACTAATTATTATACTACGTCCAGTACTGGTGCTACTACCAAACTTGATCGTAGTGCTGCGACATTGGTATCGTACCCTAAATTTTACTATTCGAGCATTAGTGGGACAGCAGTAACTACCATTATTTGTACGTCAGCAACAAGTAGAAGAACCCCAATTGCTCTGCTGAAATAAGACTGGCTACTGGGGCTACTGCCGGTAACGGACGAATGGTAACGGCAGTCCGTTCAACGAATTTATCTGAGAAATGTAAACGTAGTACTGCTGCTACGGATAAATGTCGGCTGTAAATCTGCTACCGTAGGGACTTCTTAGTAGCAATACTACTACAACTAACTAAACCACCACTACAACCACTCAGATTGCTACTGCTAGGTCCAATACTGGCACTGCTAATAAAATCTCTTGTTTAACAACTCTTATGCTACGTGTTAAGCTGACCAATATAATACTTCTAACGTTAACTCCAATGGATTTGCAAATGTTATTTATAACCTAAGTACGGACAACAGAATGTGACTAACGCTATCGCAAATATGCTTATAATTAATAAAGCAAACACCTCCGCAACGACATTTACTAATATAAATTGCTGGGAATGGTTGTAACATCATTAGAACAAGCAATAACTCAAAAGACACGACGGACACGCGCTCATCGAGAAAAACAGTAGACGGAAAAATGATAAAAATCATGTCTGCTAGAACAAGTAGTCGTTTATTTTTAATATTAAAACACACCAACTCGTCGTGAATAGACAGTTAATTACACTACTACTGCTATTAGCACAACCAATAACACCGCCACAACCACTATGAATACTACTACGCACAAAACTGGCGCTACTACTACAATTGATCGTAGGGTTGCCACATTGGTATTATGACCTCATATTTATTATTCTACTAGTAAGTCTGCAACAAGCAGAACAACCTCTCTTTGTTCGCTGAAATAAGGCTGGCCTACTAAAACCAGCAGACGTTTATTTTTAATTACGAAACACACCGATTCGCCGAGAATCCACTCTTGGTAACACTACTAATTCTACCACTACTACCACCACCACCACTACCACCACAATCACTAAGACCACTACCACGTCCACTACCTGTGCTACTGATAAAAAGGATTGGACCTTTGCGACAATTGTATCATACCCTAAATTCTAATATTCTAGCATGTATCGCGACAGCAGTAACTACGACTACTAGTATGTCAGCAACTAGCAGAAAAACCTCAATTGGTCTGCCGAAAAAAGACTGGATACTGGGATTACTGCCAGGACCAGTCGAGTGGTCATTGCAGTCCGTTGACCGAATACATCCGAGAAATGCAAACCTAGTACTGCTGCTATGGGTAAATGTCAGCGGCGATCGTGCTATCGTAATGGACTGCTAGTAAAACTACTTCTACTTAAGCAACTTCCACCATTACCACTAAGTCTACTTTTGCTAAGACCACTACGGGTACTACTACTGAAACTACTACTTTACTAACTATTATGGTATGGGTAACGATGACGAAATTAAAACTACTAACGACATGTACTAATAGACATTGCGTTGGTTGGTTGTACCAGCACTAGCACAAGAAATACCTCGAAAGACACGACGGACTCACACTCAACAATAAAAGAGTAGACGCAAAAATGTTTGCGTTATCATGCCTACTAAAACTAGTAGGCGATTATTTTAAAAATTAGAACACTCGGTTTAGACGCTAATCCTCTGTTATCAACACTACTAGTGCTACTGCCAAAGCCACTAACACTACCACAACCACTAGTACTACTACAGCGCCTACGACTGGTACCAGTACTAAATGCACTTCGTCAATATCTGTTACGGTATGGGTGTGGCTGACTAAATTATTACTAATAAAATTAACGCCAATGAATTTGCAACTGTTATTTATGACATAATTATGGGCAACATAATGTGACTAACAATGTCGTAAATAGAAAATTAATGCAAGATCCACCTCTGTAACGAAATCTATTAATAGTTATTGAGGGTATGATACCAGTGTCGCAACTCCTACTGTTTTAAATAGGCATGGGTTTGTAAATATTTGCGTATCATAATTTTCGCTTGGAGTGCTTGTTCGTCATGTCTTTCGGGGTATTGCTTGTGCGAGCGGTGATAAAATCACCCACCGCAATTTTTATTAGCATTTTCGATACAAAGGTTACTACTGCAAGAATTATCCATTCACGATATTTTGCTCACGTTCTTTTGTCTGCATTTGGGCCATAAATATCAGTTGCACATCCATTGGCGTTACTGGATGCAGTATTAATTTATTCAGCCTTACTCCTAAGATAACAGTTAGTAAAGTAGCAGTTTTAATAGTTGCACCATTGGCGGACCTAGTAGTAGTAACCTTAGTGGTTGCGTTGATGGCGGTGCTGGCAGTTATTGTCGAAGTAGTAATGTTACCAATAATTCCCTACGGTACCAAAATTATCGCCGACATTTACCTATAGCAGCAGTACTAGATTTGCATTTCTCGGATGTATTCGATCAACGGACAGCAGTGACAACAGGTCCGATCCCGGCAGTAATCCCAGCAATCAGTCTTATTTCGGCAAACCGATTAAGGTTCTTCTGCTTGTTGCTGATGTACTAGTAGATGTAGTTACTGCTGTCGCGCTACACGCTAGATTAGTAGAATTTAGGGTAAAATACCTGTGTCGTAACACTCCGAACGTTTTTGTAGTAGCACCAGTAGTGGACGTTGTAGTAAACTAAGTGGCTGTGTTGGTGGTGGCGGTGGTGATGGTGGTTGTCTTATTAGCTTTAGTAGTGTTACTATCAGTGAATTCGCAGCGAATAGGAGCGTTTCGAAATTAAAAATAAACGCCTACTCGTTGAAATAGGCAAGTTTTTGAAAATATTTGCGTCTAATATTTTTCTCGTTGAGTGCGCGTCCGTCGTGTCTTTCGAGGTATTGATTTTGCTAGTGGTGATACAATCTCTCACCGCAATTTCTATCAGTTATTTTGTTTGCATAGGTTGATACCGCATTATGTATCTATTTATGAAAATTATAGTCAAGTTCTGTTTTCCGAATTTAGGCAATAAATAACAGTTGCAAATCTATATGCGTTTTTGGTACTATAAATACTTTTGTCAGTGTTGCTCATGCCATAATATTTAGTAAAGTAGTTGTTTTAGTAGTAGCACCAGTAGTTGACATAGCAGAAGTCTGTGTGGTTGTGGTTGTTTCCTTTCCGCTTATTCTTATTTCTCGCATTCTGGGATGAAATTATTTCCAGTTTTTTCTTCCCCATCTACTTTTCTTTTGGAGACACACTGGCTCATACGCTCCGCTACGCTCCAATCTCAATCACACCAAAATATTTCCTTTCGACTTATTCTTATTTAGATCAACTTGCCATGAAATTATATGCATTTTCTCTTTCCTATCTGCTTTCCTGTCGCAGATAGACTTGGCAAAACTATCCGCTTCGCTTCAATACGAAATCCTACCGAAATATTTCTTTACCACTAATTCATATTTATCTCGCCATATAATGAAATAGTATGCTACTTTCTTTTCCCTAGCTGCTTTCCTTTTGGAGATATACATGGTAAACCTATGCGCTCAGGTCCACTCCCGATCAAATAAATATATTTCTTTTCCACTTATTATTTTAGTCTCACCCCGAGGTGCAATAAAATGCCATTTGCTCTTTTTCAGCTGTTTCAGTTTCGGAGATACACATGTTAATACTCTCCGCTCCGCTACAATCCGAATCCCACCAATGTAATTTCTTTCCAATTACTCTTACTTATCTTAACGTGCGATGCCCAATTATGACAAGTTCTTTTTCCCAATTGCTTTTCTTTAGGAGTTACACTTTGTTATTATCTCCGCTTCTTTTCACTCCCAATTCGCGCAAAGTATTTCCTTTCAGCTTATTGTTATTTATCTCAACATGAGATGATATATTATGCCTTTTACTCTTCCTTAACTGCTGTCATTTCCGAGATACACGTGGTAATACTCTCCGCTGCGGTCCGCTCCAAAATCCACCAAAATATTTCCTTTCCACTTTTTCATACTTATCTCACCGTGACATGCAATAATATGCCATTTTTTTCTTAGATGCTTTCATTTTGGAGATACACATGGTATTACTCTCCGCTGTAAACCTAATCTCACGAAATTATATTCTTTCAACTTATTCATACCCATCTCACATAACTGCAAGGTTCAAAAAACGTCAGCGTGTTTGAAGGAGACACTAACTCACCGGGCAGTCGTAGAGAGGTTCCGTAGACAAGATCAGCTGCAGTGCAACCGATGTCGGCCTTGAGAGTGGAACGGAGGGAAAGCAGCACCAGGGGAAGGTGATCAGACCATCGGGAAGGATCGGGTTGTGCCATTAGGGAAGTCTTGAGCTGTCGATGGAGACGTTCGACGAGACCATTTGCTTGAGGGTGGTATGTTGTTGTTCGAATTCGGTTGGTACCGAGAAGGGATGTGAGTTCGCGAAACAGCATGGACTGGAATTGGGATCCGCGGTCAGTAGTGACAGTCGCAAGAACTCCAAAATTGGACGCCCAAAGAGTCACGAAAGCTTTTGCTACGACTTCGACACTGTTGTCCGGAATGGGAGCAGCAACCGGCCTTCGAGTAAAGCGATCAATGCATGTCCGCATATAGGCAGGACCGTTAGATGGTGGAAGCGGACCTACCAGGTCAATGCGCAAATGACTGAAACGTGCATCAGGAGTGGCGAAAGTACCTGGCGGGGTAATAGTATGCCGATGCGTTTTGGCGCGCCGACATGGTAGACAGGATCCGGTCCAACGCCGTATATCCGGGTTGATGTTGGGCCAAACGAATCGGTTAGTGATGAGTTTCACTGTCGCCCGGACCCCAGGGTGGGATAGATTGTGAAGAGCGTTGAACACTCGTCGTCGTAAAGTTGCTGGGACACACGTTATAGTGCCAGTGGGAAGGGGGACATCTTGAAGACGTAAAAAAAGTCTTCGTGGTGGTATTGGGATAGTTCGCTATCCTATCGTTGAGCCTCACCCATGAGCGTGAAATCTATGGCGTCTGTTATGATGGAAGCCATCTCGATTCTTGAAAAAGCATCAGCAGTCACATTTTCCTTACCATGGACATGTTGGATGTCGCAGGAAAACTGTGAGATGAAGTCAAGATGACGGATTTCACGGGGCGAGCATCGATCGGGAGAGGCCCTCAGTGCAAAAACGAGTGGCTTGTGATCTGTTAGAACAACAAATTCGCTACCTTCCCATAAATGTCGAAAGTGCCGGAGGGATAGGTAGACGGTAAGCAGTTCTCGGCCGAAGACAATGTAGCGGGTCTCTGCTGGGCTCAGCTTCTTCGAGAAGAAAGCCAGAGGCTGTAGAACACCACCAACAGTTTGCTGAAATGATGCACCAACTGCAGTGCTGGAAGCATCTGTCATGAGAGTTAGCTGGGCATCTGAGCGGGGGTGAGCAAGCAGTGTTGCGTTCGCAAGTGCGGCCTTGACGTCATTGAAGGACTTGATGGCCTCCTCGGTCATCACCAGTGTTATCTTGAAGTGGGTCAAAAGGCTGTTGAGTGGCTGCAGAATGGTGGCACCATGGGGAAGAAAACGGTGATAGTAGTTCACCATGCCCAAAAAGCGGCGTAGTTGGTTGATGGCTGTCGGGACGGGGAACGTTGATATGGCCTAAACTTTTCTGGGACGGGCTGTATCCCATCCAAGTTCACTTCGTGACCCAAGAAGATTAGGCTGGGGACTCCAAACTCACATTTAGCAGCATTTATTACAACGCCGAAGGAATCGAGTAGTTCTAAGAGTTGTCGAAGATGAACCTCGTGTTCAGCAGCGTCAGAGCTAGCCACCAGCAAATCATCAATGTAGGCGTAGACGAAGTCGAGACCTCGCAGAACCTGATCAATGAATCGCTGAAAGGTTTGAGTGGTGTTCCTCAGACCAAAGGGCATACGAGTGGATTCGAATAACCCAAAGGGAGTGGTCACTGCAGTTTTCGGCACATCACTGGCCTCGATTGGGCTTTGGTGGTAGGCACGAACAAGGTCAATCTTGGAGAATATTCGCTTACCATGCAGCGAAAGAGTGAAGTCTTGGATGTGCGGGACGGGATACTGGTCGGTGACAGTCAGTGAGTTCAACGCCCGATAGTCACCACACGGTCGCCTTTCGCCGCTCTCATTTGGGACAAGATGGAGGGGTGATGCCCAACAGCTGTCGGACTGCCAGATGATGCCGAGCTCAAGCATGTGATCGAACTCTGCCTTGGCGATCTTCAAACGGTCCGGAGCAAGACGACGTGGTCGGCAAGATTTGGGAGGTCCGGTGGTGGAAATGTGGTGGGTGACTGTGTGTTTGATGTCCACTTCACGAAATGAGGGGTTGGTCAGGAGGGGGAAAGGAGAGTCGGAGATGGGCATAACAGTGAGAGGGTTGATACAGGGGTTCACATCGGATTCACAACGGGCATGAAGGCTAATGACGCAGTCGACGAGTCGACGATTCCTCAAATCTACTAGTAGATTGAATTGAGCTAGGAAATCGGCACCTATGAGGGCGACGGAAACGTCGGCAAGAATAAAAACCCATCGGAAAATCCGACGAAGGCCAAAATCAAGTGTGATGGAGCGCTGTCCAAAGGTGGGGATGCTGCAGTTGGTGGCAGCCATTAGACAAAAAGAGCAGCGGTTTTTGCGTTCGGCCGGAGTTGGTAGAACCACGCTAACCTCGGCACCAGAGTCGGCAAAAAATTTGGCGCCAGCGATACGGTCCCAGAGAAACAGACGGCGAGTGTGAAGATTGGCATTGCTGCCAGCAGCAGTGGCCTCTACTGTCGGGTGGGATCGTCTCCCTGAGGCCGTTAGAGATGCCTTGAAAGAGCATGGCTGTAAACATCGTCGAGCTGCCGGCTAACCCTCAGACACCTCCGGTCCAACTTCAGTTATTCTCGGCTGACCTCACAATCTTTCATCACCTCACGCGCGTCTAACGCCCTGGCTTGATACCTGTGAGGCATTGTCTGCATGCGTCCTCTATTCCTCCCCTAATTTGTCCAATTACACGACCAACAGTCAGACAACCACCTCCTTCTGCTAACCCAGGCACTCCCGCCCGCGTAAACAACACGCCGCGACTGGAAAATTTGTCCATATACTCCATTCCCAATCCAACCAAAATATCTATTTTCCCCTTATTCATATTTATCTCACCGTTACTATCCTTAGTATGCCATTTTCTCTTCCGCAGCTGCTTTCATGTCGGAGATGCACATGGTACTATTCTCCTATCCGCTCCAATCGCAATCCCACTTTAAAATCTTCTTTCCACTTATTCTTCCTTATCTCACTGTGAGATGGAATAATATGCCGTTTTCTTTTCCATATGTGTTTTTCTTTCGGAGTTACACTTGGTAGTTCACTCCGCTCCGCTCCATTTCCCATTTCACTAAAGTATTGCCTTTCAACTTGCGGAGAACGCGACCGGCCACGAAACTGTGTATTAGAAAAATGCAAGTCAAAATGAACTGGAAGTAAAGCGTATTTATAACGCCTTACGGTGCTTCGCCGGCGTTCGGCCCAATGCCCTTCGGGAAGAACATTCGAGACGAGCCGGTCGATAATTCGAATATGCTGATCGATCAGGCCCGAGAGGAAAAGCCAATGGAGAGGCGCCACGAGTAAGATGACAGCGCAGTGGAGAAAACGCACGTGGCCTCCGGTGATTGGCTTGCTCTTGTTTTTGGGAGTGTAGGCGCTCCCAACCCACGCCAGAAGCGGTACTGACCTACTTGGAGTGGAGGTGTTGGGAGCGCCTACACTCCCAAAAACAAGAGCAAGCCAATCACCGGAGGCCACGTGCGTTTTCTCCACTGCGCTGTCATCTTACTCGTGGCGCCTCTCCATTGGCTTTTCCTCTCGGGCCTGATCGATCAGCATATTCGAATTATTGACCGGCTCGTCTCGAATGTTCTTCCCGAAGGGCATTGGGCCGAACGCCGGCGAAGCACCGTAAGGCGTTATAAATACGCTTTACTTCCAGTTCATTTTGACTTGCATTTTTCTAATACACAGTTTCGTGGCCGGTCGCGTTCTCCTTCTCTGCCGCGTTGGTATTGGGGACAAGGGTCGAGTGCGCATGCGCTCCACAGGATTTCACGTACCAGGCGGGTCATAACAGAGATATAGAAAAATAAGCGGATCGGAATCATTTGTGTGGGATTGGAAGTGGAGCAGAGCGGAGAGTATTAACAAAGGTATCACCGAAATGAAAGCAGATAAGGAAGAGAAAATAGCACATTAATGCATATCACTGTCAAAAAAATTAGAATTACTGTAAAGTAAATATTTTTGGGTTTGGTATTGGAACGGAACTGTGAGTATTGTCAAGTGTATCTCCGAAATGAATGCATCCAGGGAAGAGAAAATGGCATATTAATGCATATGCCTGTGCGATAAATATGAATAAATGGAAAGGAAAGGTTTTGGTGGGATTGGGAATGGAGATGAGCGTAGAGAATTACCAAAAGTATCTCCGAAAGGAGGGCAGCTAGGGAAGAGAAAATGACGTATTATTGCATTTCACCGCGAGATTATTAAAAATAAATGAAACGAAAATATATTTGTGAGATTGGAATTTGGCGCATCGGAGAATGTTACCAAGTGTGTGTCGGAATCGAATGCAGTTAAAAAATGATAAAATGGCATATTAATGCATCTCACTGTGAGATAAATTCGATCAACTGGAAAGAAAATATTTTGTTAAGATTGGGAATGTAGCGGAGCGGAGAGTATTGCTAAGTGTGTCTACGAAATGAAAGCAGGTATGGAAGAGAAAATGGCATTTTATGGCATCTGACGTTGATGTAAATAAAAATAAGTAAAAAGGAAAGATTTTGGTGGAAATGGGAGTGGAGCGGATCGGAGAGAATTACCACGTGTATTTCAGAAATTCAAATTAAATAGGAAAGAGAAAATGGCATATTAGTGCATATCACTGTGAGATAAATAGGAATAAGTAGAAGGGAATAAATTTGGCGGGATTGGAAGTGATACAGATCGAAGAAAAATACAAAGTGTATCTCACAAAATTAAAGCAGACAGGAAAGTAAAAATGACATATTATTTCATTTCACGTTGAGTTAAAGAAGAAAAAGGGGAAAAGAAATATATTTGTGGATTGGCAGTGGAGCGGAGCAGAGAGTACTACAAAGTGAATATCAGAAACAAACGCTTCTTGTCACGAGAAACTGGCATTTTATATAATCTCACGGCGCGATTCTATGGATAAATGGAAAGGAAATATTTTGGTGGGGTTGGGAGTGGGGCGGAGCGGAGCGGAGTGTGGTACCAAATTTACCTCCAAATAAAAGCAGTTAGGAAAGACAGAGTGGAATATTACTGCATGTCACTGTTAAATAAATAAGAATATGTGGAAAAGGAATATTTTGATGGGATTGGGATTGGAGCGCAGTGGAGAGTACTACAAATAGTATCCCTGAAACGAATGCTGTTACGGTTGACTTAATGGCATTTTTTTGAATCATTCTGAGATAAATAAGAAAAAGTGGAAAGAAGAGATTGTGTTGGTTTTGGGAGAGGAGCGGAGCGGACAGTATTGCCCAATGTATCTCCAAAATAAAAGCAGTTCGGAAAGAGAAAATTGCATATTAGTGCATATCAATTTGAGTTAAATAAGAATAATTGAAAGGAAATATTTTGGTGGGATTAGGAATGGCGCGGAGTGGAGAGTAATACCAGGAGTATCTTAGATATGAATTGATTTAAAGAAGAGAAAATGGCATAATATTGCATTTCACGTTGAGATAAATAAGAATAAGTGGGGAGACAATATATTAGTGGGATTTTGATTGGAGCGGAGCGTAGCGTAGCGTAGCGTATTAGGAAGTGTATTTCCAAAATGATAGCGGATAGGAAAAAGTTAATGGCGTATGAGTGCACCTCATGGTGCGGTAGACCAAAACACATGGAAAGGACATATTTTCTGGGAATGGGGATTGCAGCGGAGCGGAGTGTATTACCAAGTGTATCTCCAAAAAAAAGCAGCTAAGGAAAATAAAATTGAATATTAATGCGTGTCACTGAGAGAAATATAAGAAAAAGCGGAAAGGAAAGACTGTTGGGTTTGGGAGAGGAGCGGAGCGGAGCTTATTAGCAAATGCATCGCCGAAATGTGAGCAGCTGGAGAAGAAAAAAGAGCATTTTATGGCTTTTTCAATGAGGTAATAAGAATAATTTGTAAGGCAACATTATGATGAAATTGGTAATTTCTCCGCTCCGCCCCAATACCAATTTTATCTCCGAAAGAAATGGAACTAGGGAAGAGATAATAGCATATTGTGGTATCTCATGGTGAGATAAATATGTATAAGTGGAAAGGAAAAATTTTGGTGAAATTAGGATTGGAGCGGAGCGGAGAGACTAACATGTGTATCTGCGAAATGAAAGCAGTTAGTGATGCTTTATCTGCATACTAGATGGACTATGCCACGCGTTGCTGTGGCTCAATCTGATGAAATGGGAAAGAAGGAAAAGATGAGGGGGCACTTTCCCAACTGAGAAAAATGTAAGGGCCACCGGTTGGCGGTTGTGTGCGAAAGCCACGGTTATCCTACTAGCCGCTGTCGAAGGCGGGACAATTTTCTGCTGCACCCAGTCGCGCTCGAGAATTCCGGAGTATGTGTTGATGGTGGGCATTTATTTCGCCCACTGGTGTCGATCGAGGAATTACAGGCATTGTTTGCCTGAAGTCTCCTGCAAGCAGTAGCAGTGCATCTCCAAATGGTCTGCTGTTCCCTCACAAATCCTGCAGTGTTCGATCATGGGCCTCGAACGCTTTTTAGGCGCCATTGTGCATCCATTCCAAACAATATGTTTGCATTCTTACAGTACTCTTCCCATGCCAGATGCCGTGGAAATGTTGCACGTGGGAGTTTCCATGAATTGCACGTTCAAAGGCAATTCCGAGGCAGAATGATTAGTTCTTCCGCTGGGTGGCAGGGTTGCAGCTATTCCGGACGATGCAAGCGCTTGTGTTGCTGTCAGAATCAGTCTTATTAGGAACGTTATGACAGTCCCTCCTGGCGCATCTAAGAAGAACATTTGTCCAACCCCGTTGTTGTCAGTCCGCATTATTTGATCGTTAATGTCACTCTGCTCTAGTAATAGGCTTGATTGCAGATACGACAGATGATCAACTGTGTTGTGGTTTGTCCCATGGCGCAAATCTACATCTAACGAAGCAGCAGCAGGTCGGTTTGGCGATGACATTCCCAGTTGATTAAGAACTTTGCTCATCGTTTCTACGCACATATCCTCAATCATCATTAACGTCTCGTAGTAGATTTCTGCTGAGAAATCCACATTTGAGTTTTGCTTGCGTAGGCGACGGAGATGTCGTCAGCCATGTGCTCATTGTATGCTTTTAAAAGCAAAGGCGAACATAGAATAACCCAGCGGTTATCTACTTGTGTGTCACCGTTTCGCATTTGTACGGTTGCCAATTTGCCGCCGTCTTCCGCTGGCCATCTTCGGTATAAGGGATATCCGTTGTTTCTAATAAATGTGTTGCAAAGGAATGCCCGAGGATATCTCTTAGGGCATGTTCCGCCTATCATGCACGGGGAAGTTGGATTGTGCGTGGGGGAGGGGGGATAGGGACTTTGTTAACCGCATCCAGTCGTCGCGCCCGAGAATCCCAGCGGAGGCGGCGAAAGCCACATTTATGAGAGTAGTGTGGGGCAATTTCAAGTGGCGCCCAAGAGTTGCGTGTTTTTTTTTGCTGCAGTGTGGGTGGTTTGCTCTGGCGGCCCAGATTGCATCGGTCCAGAGAGGGTGGAGGACCTGCTCAAGTGCCTGCTGGGTGGGTGGTGGAGTGGGCGCGGCCGTCGGGGGGAGCAAGTGCGTTTGAGCGAATGTCGGTCAAGTGGCCACAGTCTGGGCTCACATGTGTCCGCGCGGATTTAGGTCAAGTGGCCGCAGCAGGTGCCGTTGTTATGCCGGAAAAAATCCGGTTTTTTACCCATTACAGGGCATGGGCATAATTACAAAACTGAACAGAAAATACCCGGCCCGATGCGCTGGCTGTGTTGTGTCGAAATTTCAGCGCAATCGGTACAGTACTTTCGGAGATTAGCTATAACACAAAAAACCTTCCATTTATATATATATA